AGACTTGGGGATTTGATTCGTTGGAAACCAAGGCTACAGCTAAATATTTATGATTCTTAGAGCATTCTAGTGTAAAACTAATCTATTTAAGGATCTTATAAAATAGTGATTAGCTCATAAAGATTTAGTAGAAAGGTGCAGTTTCATTATTCTCCTATATGAAAACTTCCTCTGTTCTTAAAGGGAAATATTTGCTTGTCAGTACTTTTATGAGTTTAACTAAACTTAAGGGCACTTGTTTCATTTCTCTAAAAGCCTAAAAGAAATCTGTAATTTCAAAAAAGGACTTTTCAAGCAAGTACAGTACACAGTTAAATCCCATTCGCCTGAAAATCAGTCAGTCCCAATTGGCTTGGTTAAATTTCTGCATGTGCACATGTCATTTGCAGAAACTGCTGAACGAGCTTCGTGTTTTTGCTGCATTTCTTTGTCAAAATGACCCAAACCTTTTTCTCGTTGTTGCTGTGTATGTTACACTTGTTATAACCTTGCCTCATGCTGTATGCTTTGTACAAGAACCTGATTGTCTTGGCTTTTTCCATTCTTTGCTTCATTAATGCTCTCCCTTTCCAGATGTTTTGGGTATGTATAAAAGCTTGCAAATTACTTTTCCTGCTGTTTTGTGTTCAGTGCTTTGTTGTACCTCACAAAATCACTGTGTGTCTAGTTGGCTCACTGATAGACAAAAATCAATGCTATACGGTGTTGCTAATTTTTTTTGTTTTGTTGGTGTTCTTTTTTTTTTCCCCTGTAAATTTTGCCATTTTTCCTTACTTAAGTAATACTAAAAATGAAGTTGAGATGGACAAGTAAACACTAAAGATTAGGTTTTTCCACTATAAATTTCTAAGGTGTTTAGTCTGTATATTCTAATGCACACATTAGTGCTGATGTAAAATGTCACTGTGTGTATCATAAATTGATTGCAGTCAAGTGACTGTGAGTCTGTTTATTTGCTGCTGTGTACCTAATTGTATGTGCATAAGTAGTAACAAATCAGGCATTATATGCACCCAATTTGCATGTTCAATCAAATGCCTACCTTTGGAAATCTGTCTCAAGATAAATATAAAGCTCCTATTCACATCATTTGGTTGATATCCCAGAGTTTTGGTTTTTCAAAGTAAAATAGAAAAGCTTGAAGAAATAGTAATGAAGTTTCAGTGCAAATTTCAGCATTGTGTTTTGTTTCTTGATATCTATGTGAAAGTCCAGTTAAATGCTTGAAACTTTAGTAACAATTTACACACGTAACATACGTATGATAACTTTACGTATTCTCCATGCTTGACAGTTTAATGTCAGTTGTTTTACATATGACGTGTTTCTAGGAAGTGTAACCCCAGAAAATCAGATTTAGGGGGAAAGCTTAAAAGTTAGCTAGGGTTCAGAAGGCTACTTTTCTACTTACAGAGGCCATGGAACAGGAATGCATAATTGGGATTTGACCAAGAGTGTATTTCTGTTTAAAAGCCTCAATTATCTAATGTAGATAAAAGAGAAGGAAAAACATGTTTGATGTGTCATGAGAAATTCTAGTTGTCTCTTTATGATGTACAGAACTATCAGTTGTAGGCATTACATTCTCAGATTTGATAAAGTAACCGGCTAAACCTCAAGCAGCTTGGGATTATCATGAGGATGTGGCTTTATGTCATTTTACACACAGGTGGGGAAAGACTGGCATAAAGATCCTGAACCACCTTTAATTTATCAGCCTTTTTTTGTCTCAGAATGCTTTTTTGAGTTTTCTGCCAGGTCAGTCTTGTTAACATCTGACGTCTTTAATGAATTCTCCAGGTAGTTCTGAAATAGAAGTTTGTTCTGACTTTCCAAAATTCTAGCTTACAAATAATTTTGTGATACAGTATTGTCAAAGTATTTTAATGAAATTTCCTGAAGGTTTCTAAAGGACATATGAAGAAAAAACAAGTTATTTATTTCTTTGAAATAGAGAGAGCTCTCAGCAATACATCTCTGCATTTTCTCATGGTACTGCACTGACTTACATATGATTGGTAATTATATTGGCATAAAATGTGTGCTAGAGACTAAGTAATATTGTAATTTTTAAGCTCATGGATATGCGTATAATAACCAAAGTTACCTGGACATGTAAATGAAATATTTTCAGCAAGCAAATTCTTTGCTAAAAGATGGAAAATTAAAAAAAAAAAAAAAAAAAAAAAAGCTGAAAAGAAAAATTATTGCAGTTAAATGGCTGTGTAATTGCAGCAGTAGTATGTATAGTGGAGAGGTAGAATATAAGGACGGTTTCAAGAAAAAATGCAGGTTCTTCTGGAAGCTGGGGAAGTATACTCCAAGGGACTGAAGACTGGGACCTCATCAGAGACTTCTGTGGCATTTTTTCACCCACTCTTGATTTGAGAGGCAGAAGCACATGTTAGTCCAGAAGCCATGCAGTGCTTGTCCTTGAACTTTTCTGCTATACCAGAGCTGAGAAAGATAAATACTGAAATGCCCTTTAATTGATGAAAAAGATCTCTTTCCACCTCCAGACACAGGTGGAAACTTGTTGGTTCATAGGACTATAGTTATCTGCAGCTATTGCCCTGAATATGATTCACAACAGAAGATGGTAAGGCATCCTCAGCCTTAGCAAAGTATTGCTTCAAAAAGTATAGTAGGAAATCTTAGTATGCATTGACATATCCTACACTGGCAGTAGTGTAGCAAATACTACTTCCCCAGCCAAAATTAAGACATGCTGTCAAAAAAACAGATTTTGCAGATACAATTCGTCTTGAACAAAGGTTTTCAGCTATCTGAAATGGTATTAAAAATTATACATTAGCTGATATTGATATTGACTGAAGCACTGAGCCTGGTTTACAATTGCAGGAAAGCAGCTCAATCTCATCATCAGAACAGTCAATACACAGAGACAAATAGTCTCTGATCTGTTTATTCTAGTTGGTGCTTGGACTTAAGTTAGACGTAGACTATTGATTGTCTTCTAATAAATCACAGAGGTAATGATATTGAATCATTCCAGCAATATCTATACACATTGAAATTGCTGAATATGTAATCATAAATGTGCCAAGATCTATCAGAAGTCCTGTCTTCAAAAACATGGTCCTAATTCAGACAGCAGCTGGGCCATTGTGCTTTTATTGACAAGCAGGAAAGCACACACTGATGCTCTCTGTTCCAGAACACCATGCACATCTTAGAATCTTCTCTGTTGTAAAAGACTGACACGGACTCCGCCATAACAGGAGATAACTACAAATGGATGGAGAGGATCTTCAATTGATCCAAAACAATGTTGAACTCCTCCAGTACAGAATACCACACATAGATTTTCTGCTGGCCACTTAAGATGTTACTTAATTCATGAAGAGATTGTAGTATTCACTTATTAACTTGGAGCAAAAGACTTTAAAGTAAATGGAGATTTACAAAGATGAAATTCTCTCTCCTGGAAATTTTTCAGCCTTATTGTGCTGCCAAATTTTTATGCTATTCTAGGAAGACAAAAATTTATCTCCTAACACTTCTTGAAAAGGGCATCTCTCTTTAGAGAGAGGCTTTTCCTGAGTGAGTAGTTTCAGGTAGCCAGACACCATTGTCTGTATTTTCCAGTAAACATAATGCTTGTGGCCAGCACAATAGATAAAATGCTGATAGTGTAATTTCTAGAAAATATTTAATAAGTATTTAGTACCTCTTCTTGACATTTAAATGTCTGCTGGATATCTTCTAATATTTGCTTTGAACTGTCTAGGTATCTATACTGGTTTTGTTTCACGGAGTGTGCACGATCTTAAAACTCATGTGGATTACAATCTTGCCTGGCTCTCTAACTTCATAGAAAGTCCCTCAACTTGTGTAATTTCACAAGTTGAAATAGTTGAAATAGTTGAAATAGCTTGGGTTGGAAGATACTTTAAAGATCGTCTAGTTCCAACCACATTGCTACAGGCAGGGACACCTCCCACTGGACCAGATTGCTCACAGCTCCATCCAGCCTGGCCTTGAATGCTTCCAGGAAGGGGACACCCACAACCTCACTGAGCAACCTGTTCCAGTGTCTCACCACCTTCACAGTAAATAATTTCTTCCTAATATCTAGTCTAAATTGTCTCTCTTTTGGTTTAAAACCCTTTCCCCTTGTCCTGTCACTACATGTCCTTATAAAAAGTCCCTCCCCATCTTTCCTGTAGGCCCTGTTCAGGTACTGGAAGGCTGCTATGAAGTCTTCCCAGAGCCTTCTTTTCTCCAGGCTGTATAGCCCCAGCTCTCTCAGCCTGTCCTCGTAGAGGAGGTATGCCAGCCCTCTGGTCATCTTTATGATCCTCCTCTGGTCCCGCTCCAACAGCTCCATGTCCTTGTGTTGGGAGCCCCAGAACTGGATGCAGTACTCCACAGAAAGCCTCAAGAGAGCAAAGTAGAGGGGCACTTCTCTGTGAAGACATGGCAAGACTTGAGCAGGAAAATGTCATTCCATTTCCAGGATGATTTTGCTTTTCATTAATTAAGACCAAATATTTAATATGGCACCATACTATATGAAGGAAATCCTGTTTTCTGATGCTTTGGTGAGATGAAATAAATGGCAAAACAGAACCTCAGTACATCTTCATGCCTATCCTAGGAGTCCAGTTTGGGCAAATTAATTGCCTCATGGAATTAATGCCCAAGATGAAATTATTTACATGGAACAGTAGCATAGGAATAGGTACATGATGAACCAGGTTTTTCTCTTATGTACATGGGATTGGGTTGTATGGGAAAGTGAGAGCAGTGAAGGCAGAGAGGGTCAGGGAGTTCCCTTGCGGGGAAAGTGAGCTGGGGCTCTCACTAATGCCACCTTCATTTCCCAGCAGCAGACACGAGCAGTTAGTGGCTGCTCCCACCTGCATCGTCCTTTGGTAGTGCAACACATCAGCATACTTCAGGTTTTTCTATTTACATAGCTCATAATTATTTGCCTTTAAACATTTTCCTGACTATGATTTTCTCCTTACCTGCAGCTGAAGTTCAGAGTGAAATTGAACGGATTTTTGAATTAGCAAGGACACTGCAGTTGGTAGTGCTTGATGCTGACACCATAAATCACCCAGCACAGCTGAGCAAAACCTCTCTGGCACCCATTATAGTATACGTAAAGATTTCTTCTCCTAAGGTAAATATTTTACTGATATTTGTGTTATGTAGGCATTTTTCTTTTCATTTTGCTTTGTTAAATGCAGATGATCATGTATCCTTACTAAAGTTATATACTGTTAATATTTTAATTAGGATAGTGAAATGTTACTATTCAAAGAATACTTTAGCTGTCAGGTTACCAAAACACATGTGGGAAAAGACACTGTAGCTCCAATGATTTTTAAAATTGGGATTATGCTGTGTGTGTTCGCATGTTCTTTAGTATCAATCTTGTAAGTGATGCTAATGATTTATTCAATCAGTAGAGAAAAGAAGGAAAGATTTTAAAGTAATCAGAGTATCAGAGTGATGTAGTGAACTCTAACACCTCCTGGTTATGTACTTTCATGCTCTGAAAAACCAGCCTTGTGAAGAGGCACTTGAAAGACAAGATTGAAAAATGAGAAGATTATTGAGGAGAGCAATTAAATAGATTCTAAATATATTCTAAATCTAAATTTTGATTTAGAAACAAACACAGAAGTGGCAGAGGAAGGGAAATTTTTAGTGCTGGTAACAGCACATAGATATTGGGGTGTAAATGAAAATTAGCTTGTTCTGGATGTAAACAGCAAGGGAGGTGCTCCTAAAGCCAGAAATGAAGAAAATCACCTGCTCAAGTGGATTTTAAGTGGCTTAAAATGTACACTATGTCCGTACCTGCTTAGAGGCCATTTACTGAGAAAAGTCTTCTCAAAATGAATGGGAGAGAGGTCAGATTTACTGTTGGTTTGTTTGTTTGTTTGTTTTTCCACTACCGGCATACTTTTACAAATGTCTTATTTTCCGCAGGTTTTACAGAGGTTAATAAAATCTCGAGGGAAATCTCAGGCCAAACATCTTAATGTTCAGATGGTGGCAGCTGATAAACTGGCACAGTGTCCTCCTGTGAGTTGATGTTGATTTGTGTCTTGTTCGGCCAAGAGGAGCTGATTCTTGTTTAGAGATGCCTTTCCTGTCAACCAAGTTAGTTATGTAATTGCTCGGATTGTTTGCTTCCTTCTGGCCATATTTCACTGCTTTTTTTGCAGAATGCCTCCTGAGGTCTCTGGGCTCTACACAAGGATACAGAGGAAAAACACTCCTTGTCACAAACATTTTTTAGGATATGTGCTGAATACATGCATTGCTTGAACAAACTGAGTGTTTGTTTTACTTGATATATTTTTCTGAGTTATTGATCTAAAAATGAACTCTTAATGACATTGCAGTTTAAGGTAAGGCAGATGACTTGAATAGTTCTCCTTCAGCATGTCACCACAATCCATCACCGCTGACATTCTTGGTCACAATTTTGGCAAAGACCTGTGGGGTGCACGTAGCTGAGAAATCTGTGGTCCTTCTACTGACATGCACGTAGGCCGTTTGTAAGATGCGGTGATCGGTATTACCAGCAAACTCAGTTGCCAGGAGTGTGATCAGAACCCAAAAGACAAACATTCAATTCAGTTACAGATGTGGAAATTTGCCACAGCTAATAAGCCAAGTGAGGGAAACATTTTCATCATTGAAGATCAAGCATCTCAACTACAATACTAGTTTCTCAGCTCCTCAGGAAGTCAATCAGCAAGTTTGCTGATGATACGAAGTTGGGAGGATTGGCTGACACACCTGAAGGCTGTGCTGCCATTCAGTGAGACCTGGACAGGTTGGAGAGCTGGGCAGTAAGAAACCAGATGAGGTTTAACAAAAGCAAGTGTAGAGTCTTGCATCAATAATTGCACGTGCTGGTACGGGTTGGGGGATGACCTGCTGGAGAGGAGCTCTGCAGAGAGGGACCTGGGTGTCCTGGTGGGCGACAGGTTGGCTGTGAGCCAGCAGTGTGCCCTCGTGGCCAAAAAGGCCAATGGCATTCTGGGGTGCATTAAAAAGAGGTGGCCAGCAGGTTGAGGGGGGTGATCCTCCCCCTTTATTCTGCCCTGGGAAGGCCTCATCTGGAGTACTGTGTCCAGTTCTGGGCTCCCCAGTACAAAAAAGACAGGGATCTCTTGGAGAGAGTCCAGCGGAGGGCCATGAAGATGGTGAAGGGCCTGGAGCATCTCCCCTATGAAGAAAGGCTGAGTGAACTGGGTCTGTTCAGCCTTGAGAAAAGAAGACGGAGAGGAGATCTGATCCAGGTCTATAAATATGTAAGGTGTGGGGGGCAGAGTGGTGAGGCTGGACTCTTTTCAGTGGTGAGTGGAGACAGGACAAGGGGAAACGGACGGAAACTACAGCATAGGAAGTTCTGCAGAAATGTGCGCAAAAATTTCTTTACAGTGAGGTGACGGAGCACTGGAACAGGCTGCCCAGGGAGGTGGTGGAGTCTCCTTCTCTGGAGATGTTCAAGACCTGCCTGGATGCCTACTTGTGTGATATGATGTAGGGAACCTGCTTTGGCAGGGGGGTTGGACTTGATCTCTAGAGGTCCCTTCCAACCCCTGCGATTCTGTGATTTTGAGATTCAATGAACAATGCTAGAAACCTGCATAGGCTTTCAGAATTGCCTTCTGGAGGACATCTAACTCCCTGACCAGAGAAGAAATTGTCTCCCTGCCTATGATTAATCTTTTGCCTTGGAAATTTTATGTTCTTCATTACTCTTGCTATTTACTCATTTGTCTTAGTTTGTCTTAATTTTGACTTAGTTGTTCTACGTATGGATGTTGGACTCTTTTTCTAACAGTGCAGTTTTGTTTCAGTAGCTGAGAAACTAATATGTAACCTTTCTTTCTGAATATTTGAGTTTTAAAATTTCTTCAAGCTGCTTATTCTCACCTTCATTGACTGCTGGTGCATTATGATGTGGAATTCATGAGGGCTTGACTTGGCAAATGTAACATCAGCACTAGTTATAAGTTCTGTCCTTTGTATTACTTGCAAGGAAAAAAAAAGGTGAAATATCTTAATACAATTATTATAAATGTGGTTTATTTCTTATGAGTGTAAAGAGTAGTCATCAATTTCACTAGCTGATCTCCCTTGAGCTGGTGGTCATCCTCACTAAAACATTTATCGTTTCCTTTATCAGGAAATGTTCGATGTAATTCTTGATGAGAACCAGCTGGAAGATGCTTGTGAGCACCTTGCTGACTATCTGGAAGCCTACTGGAAGGCCACACATCCACCTAGCAGCAATCCTCCTAACCAGCTTCTTACTCGGACACTTGCAACAGCCACTCTTCCTATAAGCCCAGGTCCAAATATTAACTTACAGGTACAGTTTTTATACCGTATCTTCTTTTTTTTTTTTCTTTTTTTTTCTTTTTAATAAATTTTCTTTTGGTTTTCCCTTCTAAAGTGGTGGTCTGATACTAGAATATGCTAAATACGTTTTCCAGTTGGTGATAAAGCAAGTGCTTTTCCAGTAGACGGCCCATTTCTAGTATGAGAGCTAAATACAGGCATGTTATTCTTACTGCTGTTGTATTTGCAGTAGCATGTGTTTGCATATTGACTAATGGGCAGATTTTGATTCCTGAGGCTAAGCAAGCTTGAGTGAAAACATATAGAGATGCATAGTAGAATAAGGTTTCATTGTGTCTGGAGCACCACTGTGTCTGGAACATGAGTACCAGCCACAAGCATTCTTATAGCCAGCTCTATTGTAATCCAACCAGAGGAATAAAACTGAGCTAATACTATGCACATTGCTGCCTCTGGTAACTCTCTGACTGAAAGGCATGCTTGCACTTGCAAGCAAATCCCACTCCCAGAGTCCCTGCATGAAAAACTGGGTTATGCACAGAGCAGAACCACAAAGGATGGAGGGAACCTGTGCTCATCTTCCCACAGTGTGTCAGGATGTAGATTTTGAAAGTGGCTAACTGCGTTAGTGATGTCTCAAGGTCAAGGTGGCCCTTCAAGGGTTTCCTTTGCTCTTTTTTTGTTGCTTTCATTGTGAAAAGTGCACGCTTCCTTCAAGCCAAACTCTTACATAAAGGCAGAGTTCCACTGCATGTTGTGCAGACAGACTTGAGAGGCAGCTTGCCTTAAACTGCCAGGGTGATGCCTGGCAAGCTGGGAAGATCGGGTTTTGCTCTCACCTGCACATTGACCTGGCTTTGTCTTTGGGCAAATTGTGCCTTCTCTTTTCTCTTTCAATTTTTGCTTTCCCTAACTGTATCAAGATTGTCTGTATAAAGAGATTCTCTCCTTTGTATATATGTTGCGTGGCATGAAATGAGGACTTTAAAGATGCTGCTTCATTACAGTTAGTCAGTGACACCTCGAGGTCAAAAAGATTACAGTGAGGGTAAAAATGGGTCTATCCCAGCTACAGTAATGACTTATAACATCTGAATTTACACCTAGCTGATGTATATACACCAAAAAAAGTGTGCACATATTAGTCACTTTGACTAAAAAAAAAACTCCCCGAAAATTAAAGAAAAAAATGTCTGTGTGCTGTAATTGAAATGCTGATTTTTTTTTAATTCTGTTTTTTTTTTTTTTTAATTTTTTAAAAAATGTTTTTTTTTTTTTTTTTTTTTTTTTGTCTTGAAGAATTTATTTCCTGATAGAATTATTATAATTATTATTAGAATGTATTTCCCACAGAATTATCAGATTCTCTCTTTAATGAGAAAAAACGCTTCATCTACCCTGCAGGGTATTTCCCTCTCCAGCTTTCAAAAGCAGTTGCAGGAAAAGAGGCTTTAAGTTGTAGCTCATTTTTGCCTTTTTTTTTCTGTCCTCAGAGCTGAAAACACCCTGAAAAAAATTGTGAGCTGGAAGAATTTCTGAGTATGAAATTCAGTATTGTCGTGTTCCGACTTGTTAGATAAACTTGATTTGCTTTGTGAACATGTTAATTATTTTTATTCAAGTTTTTCTTTTTAATTATTTTTTTAACGTCTGTTGGGTGTGGATTTATAACTCACTCATTTTATTAACCACATTCTCCGGAGGAACTAAGCACATTTCTGACCTGCTAGCTGTATGTCCTTTCAAATTAACAATTTTTTATTTTAAGGACTAAAATTGAGAGTGTATTTACGGTTTCACTGTTTGTTTGTAGGTCTGTTAATCCAAATGTTCAGAGCAGAGGAGTTTCCTTATGGAATGTAGAACTTCTATGTTCTTTTTGTTTCAGTTTCCTGATATACATTCAGCTGACACCTGAAACCTGAGTCTGTCAAGGTCATGGAATGGAGTGGGTTTTCTAATCATGATAGCTGAACCCATTCTCTTGGTCATGTTGAGATCTAATATTGGAAGAATCTTATGTCTTGTGTTGTCTTTGTGGACTGTTCTAAAGAGAAAGCATTTGACCTGGCAGGGTCACATCTACACAGCAAAGCATCTGACTTATTCTCCTCTGGGTCCAATGTGGCACCCCTCTGCCATGAGATCTAGTTGGTTTTTGGGTTTTGTTAGTCCCAAGTGCGTATTGCAATGACAGATTTGTGTTGCCAGCTTTTACTTCTACAGCACAGTGTTGACTGTGTGCATTGCATGGCACAAGGTCCTTGAAGGTGCCAGGTCTTCTGGGGGTTGTTTGAGATGAGGCTGGGGGAAGTTCATACCCTTCCTGCCTGTCTTGTAGAGAGCTTGGGAGAAAACTGTCCTGACAACTTTTCTGAGATTTCCACCTGTAGGAGGTGGCTGGCAAATTCCAAAAAGGAGACTGAGAGCAAACATATGGTATAGGTGATTAGGGAACCTTTGGGAGGAAACAGAGAGTGAGTCCAACTGAGAGTGTGGACACAGACTTTCCTCTATCCTCCTTCAATTCTGCTTAGACTTCTTTTCAAGAACCCCTAATCTTTGAAATTACAACCCATTTGGGGTGAAAATCTTATGAGATTGGGCCATGAAACTTCTGCACTGCAGAATTTAATTTATATCAGAGCTCTAATTTGGCCATAAACCACAAGGCCAGATCATAGTCCAGACTGAAAAATTACCTGCTCGGTGTCTGTAATATTTAGGGAAATTAACTGTCAATGAATTTGCCCATAAATCCTAATAGCCTCAGCAGTAGTCTGCAGATGCAGGGTAATAATGGTACTGGCTCTAAGTGTATTGACTGTGCTCCTCCACAGATGCTCATCGTAGCAGAGAAGATGCATCTGAGCTTATAAACCAGTATTTTGTTCAAAGCAGATTCAGATCTTGTATTTATTCTCAAACCACAGCAATAGATTTTGCTAGTCAAAAAGAATGTAGAGGAGGAATATATTTAGCATTTGACCATATGAGAATTAAAGGGTTTTCATGTGTGTATCCAGTTTATGTGCCTTAAAAACAGTCATGGTTGCAAACTTCAATAAAAAGATGTTTGCATCTGAAGCAAGCATTGCTTTGTTCTTTAGCTTTTCATTTGATTCCATTCATAGTTCACTTTCATGGAAGTTCACCTAGAACACATCTAATAATGTTTACAATTAGTGCATTCTTTTTTCAACAAATTACAATCATCTTGGTAACCATAGAAACAAGAATAAAAAAAAAAAAAAAGAAATTCTACCGCCATTTATGATGCTTTGCTCTCATGGAGCAACCCATCTAGTTGCTGAGAATTTATTAATAATACAAAATGTTGTCTTAGATGCAAAGATATATCAAAATTGTTAAATTGCTGATTTGAAATTTTGGTAAATTCCTAATGAAATGCAGTTCTGTTCCTGCCCAGTTTCCTGTAATTTTACTTGTTGGATTGCTAGGAAACACACCTGCTGGGATGTCTGTCAAACAAAACTTCTTCCTTCTCCCAGCTCACAACATATAAAAACTGAAAGAAGTATGTCTGTGAGCTGCCCTGTAGGCAGTCTTTGTTTTCTGATGGCTCTGAACATAAGAGTGCGAATTTTAGGCTAACTTTGGTACCTTCAGTACAGTTTCATGAACAAATGATTGTATAACTGTTAAAACTTACTTTTAGTTTTGTGCCAGAAGCAATGTTTCTATCTTGAAGTTCTTAAGCTAATGTGAGAAAGATAATTCAAATTCCCTATAAACTATTTCTTAAGATTTTGCAATTAAGCTTGATGAACCTTTGGCTGTGGTTTGGGAATAAAAGCAGGTTAATTGAATGAAACCCCAAACTGAGTTAAATAATGCCAATTATTCATTTTGCAGTGATTTCAAAGCATTGTGCTGATGAGAAGAGTAGGTTTAATATTACCGGGTAATTTTTTTTTTTTAGTTTTTTAATAGTAGTGGTGCATTAGGAAATTCTTTAGGTGATAATATCACCGTCCTTCTACATTCCTTGGCAATGGTCTGTTTTTCTGATTTCTTAAAATTATGAGGTCAACATTTAATTTTTTTGTCCCCATGACGAAATCAACTGATTGCTGAGAAAAGCAGGAGGTCAGTGATACTATTAGTATCATAATACAAACTTTATTATTAATAAAAGATCCAATTGTGTTTTTATCTTAAAAAAAAATAATGTAGAAGAAGAAAAGAAAAAGTAGCTACTATAACTGAGCCAAGATTTTGTTTCTTGATTCTCTTGAGTCTCTTCCAGAAACTCACTTTTCCACGGTGTCTGTTCCAACCAGGCATGTTTAAATTCTGAGCTGACACCTGCCCTCTCCTCGAGTGATGTGTCCTCTTTAATTTTTCTGCAGTTTGTCCTGCTTCTGCATGCTCTTTTTTTGTCTGGAGTATGGTAGGCAATTACTGCTATCTGACAAACTCAGAAGCATCTTGCACGAGGACAGAAAGTCTCACAGAATAATAACCTGAGCACCACTCTCCTTTTGAGTTAGAGTGGAAATAATTGTTTGTATTATAATACTGAATTTTCAGTAAAAGCTGAATTCAAGTGTTATTTTTTCCTAGTATAGGTCCGAAGTGGAGTGTTGTGTACTTAAATTTTTTTGGTTTCATGATGCTTTCTAGAGTAATTTTGTATTGGTGAAAGTTTTAAAATGCGTACCTCGTGTATGTGAACTCACTGGTGGTTGTGACAGCAGGGATCTCAAGGAGACCAGAGGAATGACCACTCAGTCCCTGAACACAGCAATTCACAAATTGAAGAGGAAGCACGGGTTGAACCCATCAAGAAATCCCACCATCGCTCTTCAACCCAACACCATAACCATCGCAGTGGTGTTAGAGGCCTTCCTAGGCAAGAAACTTTTGACTCAGAAACACAAGACAGCAGAGATTCAGCTTACGTAGAGCCAAAGGAGGACTACTCACATGAGCATGGTGACCACTATGATTCTCACAGGGATCACAATCATAGAGACGAGTCCCATGGTGATCACAGACATAGAGAATCGAGGCATCGCTCAAAGGAGAGGGACCGGGAGCAGGACCACAATGAATGCAACAAACAACGAAGTCGTCATAAATCGAGGGACCAATATTGTGACAAGGATGGGGAAGTGATATCTAAAAAACGTAACGACACGGGAGAATGGAACAGGGATGTTTACATCCGTCAGTAACTTTTGCCTCTGGCACTCTTGTGTTTCTTGGAAGTCTTGTAACAATGCCCCTTGAAAATATCTTTGGGTTGTTCACTGCAGAACATATGGTATCCTTCTGTATGCTGATTTGTATTGCTGTTGCTTACATAGCAATAGCATGAAATAGAATATTCATATACTTATTTTTTTTTGTTAGTGCTATATGAATTAGCGTGGTACAGCTGCAGAGTTCCTGATATTGTACCATGCCATTTTTCAAGCTTTTTTTTGGTAGCTGCCACTTGAACAATATCTGTTGCCATCAAGGTGTTGTTAGTGTTTGTTTGTTTTTTTTCAAAGGTACATTTGATGTTTAATAACTTCCCATGTATTCAGCAAGCCAGAATCAGCACATATAAAAATCTAAAAATTTTTGTCTGCTCTGATTTTTAATTTGTTATGCACTTGATTTGCATATTGGTTTAAGAGCCACTATCTGTTGCTTGTACCTCTGGTGGACTCCATTTGGGAACGGAATTCAGTCTTGCCTTACACACAGGGGATCATGAGGTCAAAATCTATTTTCTATGTATTGGTACTGTGTACTGTATATACAGTTTATAAATGTTATTTCTGCAGACACCTTCTTACTATATAAGTTTGATCACACTGTTTTAGAGTCCTAATGCCAAGTCAGCAGATTTGCTTTTGAATTACTGGCAACTGGAACTAGCCTCATTTAGGAAATCTGTAACAGTGTTCAATCCAAACAATTTTTCTTCTGTAGCAGAAAGCTTATACTAAATGTAAATATGAAGGAGTGCTTGAGATAGAGGATCTAAATAACTCTTACACCTTATCCTGTCCTTGCAAACCCAATTTTGCATTTTGAATTTACAGTAAAGATAACTAGCTTACCACTATAAATTGTTCTTGTTTACACAGGTTACAAAATTGCAATGGACACAACCTAATTTTTGTTCTATTGTCAGAATAATAGAGCACACATGACAGAGGTATGTATGTGAGTGAGTGGGTAGTGGATGAGCAGCCGTGTGCATGGGCACATTAAGCAGCAAAGTGTGAGAATCTATCAAAGAAAACAAAGGTTACTCAAAAGCCCAATGAGTTTGTTTCTTCATTCTGTTATTAATTTGAAAATCCAAATTGCAGTCAGGGAATATGAGGGAGTTTACTGACCCTGGTAATTGAGAAAGCATAAATCTGCTGGCTATTGTTGAGACTTCAAGAGAGTAAAACCAGGCAAATGTTACTGTGAGTGTTTCACTGGAACTGTAAAATCTTTGTGTTTTAGAGTATTTGTTTAGTAAGAAAAGTTTACACAGCTTGTGGAGAATTATTTTGTTGGAAAATAAATTTTTGTAGCTTCTCCGCTTTTTCTACACTTGCCAATTCCTCTGCATTCCCACTTTGCAGACAGCTCACTGCTTTTCCTTCACTTAAAATGTGCTGACAGTGGGAGATTAGAAAAATGTGACAAAATATTCTGTTGCAAGCTTGCTATAGAAAACGCATTAAAAGCAAAAGGAGTGAAAACAGTTTGTTTTGCATTGATCACCTGTGACACTGGTAAGTGAGGGGAAATTCACAGTTCTTTTTGGCTACAGGTTCCATACACTTGCCTACTGTATAGGCTGTTCTGCACCATAGAGTCTTTGTAGTAATTGTATGAATGGAATACTTCTTAGATTTCACTGTAAATAGCACATTATGTAAAAACTATAGTGGGATAGTAATTCATTTAGCTGGAATTTCTTTCTATTTATTATTTTAATTCTGGGAAGTATCAGCATTGCCTGATTTTGACTATCATTTTAGTGAAATGGAGGTGCGTGCTTTCTCCAATCTAATCCAACATCCAAACAGTTCAGTTTGACTCCTTCAGACATACGTTGCTGTCCCTTATGCTTAATATGCATTTTTTTACCACTCAAGAAGGTGAAATTCTGCTGTCAGATATCTGGACATTCCTGCTAGTGCTGCTGACTGTTGCGGTTTTTCAAGGGTAATACTTAGCTCAGGGCATGAACTGTGGGGAACACAAGGAAAAGAGTATTTTTTTATAAATAAAATTCTCAGCATTTCTTTAAACACCACTAAATGACTTTGTAGGCAAAGAAAGCATAGGTAAGTAGACCTCTTGTATTACTAAATGGATAGATAAGACCATCTAAAAAGTGGCTTTTGATACAAGGGGTTTCTCAGGGTATCAGTGGAGAAAAACAGTGACAGAAATTGTTGTTTGAGATTGTTGTTATCAGATTACGTTTAAATGCAAAAAGTTGTATTGTCTTGTTCTATAGAGCCTGGCTTTAGGTATTTTATCAGCTTCAGTAAATGCTGTTGCTCCTTGTAACTGTTACATGACAGCCGTGGCCTCCAAGAAGTAATGTAATGATTCTGCTACAGTACCTTGAATAGTTATTTTCTTCTTTGAATTTGCTATGGGAGGTGTTAATTTTCCACCTTTCTTAAGTTATTTTTAAGAATTGTTTGGCAGAATTTCAAAACACTGAGTAGTGTATGAAAACCATGGATTTAGGTACCCACGTACAAACAAATAAAGGGAAAAATAAAGCGCACAGTTCAAGCCCCAGTATTTAAGTATGATCTGGATATTGATTGGTAGGATATAAATATCTTACAAAGAAAGCCATGTCTCCATCCAGCTAAAGAGAGTTAGGTTTTGTATAGTTCAACTAACAGTGTATAGGCAACGTACTAGCATATTTCTTAGGCAGACACTCCGTAGGTTTTATTTAGTCTTGCTAAGGTATTTTTTCTTCAGTTATTAAGAGTGACAAATCAGTTGTAATGTGAGCTTGTACTACAGATTTTGCACAATACCACCTGCCTGCTGAGCACTACTTTGAAAAGCACTTTAACAGAATTATTTCAACTAGAAGCTTTAAAGATACTCCGACTGGAGGACATATCAAAGGTTATTGTGATGAAAATGTATTTGCAAAGTTTTGCAGATAGAAAGTTTAGTATTGGTTGCATTAGGATACTAACGAGTTCATATTTCTGTGTCTGGTTTCAGGAGCTTTGAATCTGAGGAATGCTAGAGGTCCCAGTGAGCTCCAGTCTTCTTGTGTTTGTGTGGTACAAAACAACCTGTAGCATTTCTGTTCAAATGGACTGAAAAGATAAAACTAATGAATGAGAAGGAAAGGTAGGAAGATAAAACAGTTGAGCTGTACATAGAGAATCTTATCAACCCTAGCTCTGTATTTTTCCAAAGGATTTCAGTATATGGAAGGAATGGGAACATTTGCATGTATATGTCTGGTGTTAACAGTTTTTTGTATATCTTCTCAAATGAATAGAGAGGCTCACATCTATCAGTTGTTTGGTGACACAGACACTGCGGAAGAAAGAATTCTTGAAGAGGGACTGGGAGGAGGTGGGAGTGGCAGTCTCCAGGCCTCTTAAGGGACAGGACAGTAGGGATGGATAAGCAGAAGAATTTATACACAGAGGTGTTAAGAGTTGGAAGAAACTGTTCTGAAATAGATTCATAAAATTTATCTACCACCTAGAAAGATGAATTTATAGATGCCAAGAAGCCTTGTCTAGAATACTACTGAATTCACATAGTGTTTGGCATCAGGAATCTAGAATTTGAGAAGCCTTTGAGAAGCCTTTGAGAATTTATTCTTCTCAAGGTGTAAAATATAAAGGGTACCTTCTAAAGACTTGGCCCCAGTTAGTTAAGGCTGGTCTTAAAGCTACAGGAATTGATTGGAGGGCTTATTTTCACATACGTAGAATACGTAGAATGATGCCTGTAGAATGATGCCCTTACTATAAATGGAGAGTAAGGAGAGTCAGTCCTCCTCATCAAACCCTGAATCAACGTAGAGAACTGTTCTCACTTTTCCCTGCATGGTTGCTCATCAAGATCCTTTGCATTCTCTATGTGCAGCTCCTGCTCAGTTCTCATGCCCCGCCATACGTAATCTTTCCTACAAAATCATTAGCCATTGCCATTTTTAAGCTCCGTTGGGTTGTAAAGTCACGTTGGTGTTCTGTGACAACTGCTTAGGATGGTCCATGATCATTCCCTTACCTGGAATGCAGTGACCGGTCTGATTGCTTTTAATCAGGGTCTGTCCTGAGAAAAAAGGTTACAGCACCTAAAGTACCTCGTGTAGTAGCTGCTGAAGCCTCCTCCAGAGGTGTTTTTGTTTCTGGATACATTTGACCTCTGATCAAGCTGTTTCCCAAATGGTCATTCTGATAAATCTCTTTTATGTTCCTGCAGTTTTGACTTAAATTCTATTCCCTCCATGACAATAAAGCACCCTGCAAACAACTGTTACACAGTCTAAAGGAAGAACAGAGAATATTGTTACATTCTTTTTCAGAGTGTAACATAGTATTTCTGTTGTGCATTTACTTACATTTCTTACTTTACTGCAGATTGTTTACCAAAATTTTAGTTGTTCATTCATCTTTAAAATACATGGATCACGTTTTATTTCAGATGTTTTTAATCAATTATCAGTTAAATTTACTGTTTGGCAATTTGTCTGTAATTTATTTCCCTTTTTTTTTTTTTTTGTGAAACAAGCCGTGACAAATATCATCTCACAGTAATTTTATAGACAGTTTCTTTTTATAGCTTACTACTCTAGAGATGTGTTCCTATGCAGCCCCCAAAAGAGATTTATATCATATATAATAGAAATCCAGCTGGTTCTTCTAACTTATCTGTCTCCTCCTTACTTGATTCTTGCCACTTATCGTATCAAAGTGGATTTGCTCATAATTTTTCAGTAGTGAACAAGAAACTGTAAAAAAGAAGGCTATTTGTATTTTAAATTGCCTACTCCAAATCATTTCTTGTCAAATGCCATGACTGGCCTGTTTCCCCCAGTCTAAAAGTTGGTGGGCTTCTATCACAAGTCAAAAGAAAGAAGCTGTGGAATAATGTCATACAATACTAGGCTGCTGTTTTAATATTTTTTATATTGATGGAGATAAATATTTAGATTTGGCACTATTACTAATCACTATTTCTACAAATAGGGAAAGGTACTTTTCAGATTCTGGCTTTTTTTTTTTAATATATATAGACAGGATCTGATTGTATATTTAATCTATATATATAAAAATAAATAAATATATATATATATATATATATATACTGTGCTTCAGCACCTGACACTGAAGCATAATAATTTGGTCTGCAAAGCATTCTTATTAGGAAAGTAACATTATTATGTGTCAAAAAAACACATACACCATACATCAAAGTTGTGAAAATGATTAAGTATTTAAACTCCTGCAGTTTTAAAGGTCAGATTGGAAAGAAAAGGAAAAGAAAGAATGGCATCCATGCAACTCAAGACATCTGACTTAGCCAAGTGAAAGTAAAGAGCTTGGCTCCTTCAAAGGATGATTTGAAGTGTCTCAGCTACATTTCTCTTCTGAACTGCCTGACGGAGAAGTCTCTCTTTCTCTCTCCCTCTTTCTCTCTGCTTTCCTTCCTCTCTCCTTGTCAGTTCCCCCTGACTCCCAGGAATTACTGAGAGAGAGGAGATTGCAGGGAAACAGCTGAGGCGTATCCCTTTAATTTGTGTCTATAAAAATATGGTATTTTACATCTAGCATGTCTAGAAGTGATTTTTCAAAAGTAACTTCCCTAGTTAAAAGTTCAGATATCAGCAGAGGTTTTTTCAAGTCCAGTCCAGTCCAGTCTGCAACTATACTGGAATCAAATATAAGACATTTACAATTGTGGTTTTGTGGCCCTAAGAAGTTTCTCATATAAAATCAAATGAGATCACTCTCCTGAAAAACCTGATTATGATTCAAAACTGAAAAAATATGGGAAATTCTCAGCAAGCTTTTTACTAAAATCCAACACTACACAGATCCTGCTATTGAAACTGGAGGCAAAAGTTCCTCCGTTTATATGAATGTGCGAATTTCAAAATACAGTCTATGTATGCTGATTAATGTTTACAGAATTTATATTTTCTGGAAAAAAAAAAGCTTTTTTTTATACCAGCACTGAGTTCAAGATTTCAACATGTACTTGCAGTAAAAGATTAACACCTTTTGTTAGCAAGTAGTTATTTTGCCACGTTTAGACTAAAAATACTGTAATTTATAATATGAGTAATTCTGATTCTAGATAGGTTTTCTCAGCTAACACTGATCAAACAAGAGAGCTTTCAGCTTTCATGTCTTCTTTTGGCATGTCATGGTTAACAGCAAGGTGTGACTTACAAAAAGAAGACAATTCTCTCCTCCTATCCTGCTAGGATAGGCCTTACAGAATACGTGCTGATCAACCTTAGCAGAACAGAAGAAAATTTATTTAAGAGTAGAAAATGTATTATAGCAAAACACTTATAACAAATATAAGTGAAGAACCAGACTACTGAGTTATATAGATTATTTTGATTATGAGCACTTCTGACAGTACAAAGGTAAATTATAAGGGTCTGCCTTTTAGAAACCAAATAATTAGGAGTGCAAAATAAGATATTTTTTACAGAGAATGCTTTTTAAAAAGTGTAAAATTAATCAGTGGGAAAAATAAAGAACCAACAACAAAACACAGATGTCAGTTCAGGTTTTTGAAGTGTGCTTGTCTTTTGCCTGCATTTTTGTGCTATTTCTAACAGTACTGCAAAAAGAGAACGTTATTCAGACAGAGAACATCTCTGTAACTGAAGCACAGTTTGCAAATGTAGACAACGTTTGAGAAATTTAAATTATTGAATCTTTGACAGTGTATGGAGTCAGTTCTCATCAGCATGCTCCCCCAGTTTCAACCTTCATTTGATTTGATGCTTTCTAACCAGTTAATATTCTTAGTTGTTTGAAAGGTGATTTGCAACATTTCAGATGATATGAACGCACTGTTTTCTGTCTTTTGATATTTTCACCACAACTGTAGCCCTTTCGATTGCAAATGTTTGATTTTAAATTTGTCATTGGTCAGCCACTCCAAACGGCTGTTTCAGAACCAATACAGTTTATGCATGGGAAGTTTGATGTTGAAATAATATTTATTTACATTCCCAGAGTGAGATGGTTTAATATATTCATGCTGCTATAAGAGACCTGCTACAAAGCCTAATCGTATTTTGTGTATATACTATGTGTACAGAGAATCTTGCTTGTATTAAAATAAAAGAGAAATGAGGTTCTAAGTATCAATTTATAAAAGTTATTTGCAAAATGTTACAGTGTTTCATGAAGCCCTATTTAATGAAGCATTAACTACTGGTAAAGCTCCACAGAAAAACCTTATTCCAGAATTCACAGTAATGGTTCCCGTCTGTTTTATTTCTGCTTGCATTTCACAGAGGAGCTTACCTCGCCACCCCCCAGCCCCTGTTCCCACTTCTCCTGTACTAGGTAAGCCACTCACACAGCAGGAGATAACAGACAGAAGCATTACTGAACATGCTTGTCATCCAGGCGCTGACCTGCTGTGAATATAAAAGCAAACAGACCTAAAAATGATGCTGCCCTTCCCCCAGCCCCGACTTTCTGCAACCTGTGGCTCTTTCCCAGCAGAACAGCTGGCAGATTGTAGCGCTGCCATGGCAACCCTGCCGTCACCGATTGGCTTGGCAGCCTCGCAGCACCACCACATGCACTTCACGTCTGAACTGCTCTTAGGCTCACAGAGGTATTCTTCCAGGTTGTACTGCTAGATGCTTATTTACCCTTCAACTTCATAAATTTTGCAATAAAAAATCCTATACAGTCCTTATTTGCCAGTGAAACCAAATCCTCCTCCCTGCAATCTTGCAAAGATTCCATATCTGTTCCTTGCAAAGTCCCAGCAGATGGATCAAATCTCTGCAGCAGCTTCAACTGATGGAGTGCCAGTCCAGCTCCCCTCATGCCTTCTCCTCCAATGTGAGGTTCCTTTGCAAGTAACAAAGAAAAGCAAATTACCACATCAGTACAAAGTCCCTGGTTTCCTAGATGTATTCCTTTAAGTATTTGCAGAGCTACCTAACTTAATGTGGACACACTAGGTTTGTATCATGTACACCACGGGGAAGCTCAGAAGCTACATGGCCGTCCCTTTTTTAATCTGGCAAGCACATATGAGTCCATACAGCACGTCCAACACCGTGGAATTGGTGATGGGGCCAAGCCCACTTATCCCCCTTGTTTAGTGATTGGACCACTTAGAGAGGATAGGTGACATCCATAGGTCTAAATCAGTCCCAAAAGAGTGAAATCCCTACCAATCACAAGAAGGCTGTTAGCAACAGCCAACGCATGTGAAAGTTTTAGGTTTTTCACTTAAATGCTGAAGCACTCCTGTGTAAACAACCACAAGTAGTCAAAAAGAGAGATTCCTTAGTCGGTTGCTCAGTAACAGTAGTAGAAATACCTGGATTCTTCACATAGAAAACTTCGACTGGAGAGAGTGAAAGAACACTGCCTAAAGAGGCATCATTTTGGAAGAAGATGATGCAGCAGAAAAATTTGGCGCTCCAGATTTTCTGTGTTATGTAATTAGACTAATGGCTAAATGGGACACGTTTGTATAGGACACAGAGGAAGGAACAGCATAGGCATCCGAATTCAGAAGGACATTTGGCATCAAAATCCTGGATAGAAGGGAATTCTTCTCAGCCCCACCCCTCTTCTCAGCACTCCCTGTGATGCCTTGACTCCTTTTTATTTAATAAATAAGCTGATTCTTATCTGGATCACTAATCTAATGCATTCAGATAGGAGACAGAACAACATTTGTAAAAGCTGGCATAGCAATAGCAAAATAAAGAACTCCTTTGTTAATCTGTAATGCAGCACAGAGCAGATCGTTTCTTGGGCCCTCAGACTTTGCTAACACAGGTGCTCACCCCATCAGCACACGATGTGAGTTAACTGCTTAACGATGCACTGCCAGCTTAAAGCTGGGCAGCCGGGAAGCTGCTGCTCAATTCTTCTCTTCCTTTCCTTTAATAGGAATTCAGTGCTTTCCAGGTAAGAGACAAAAAGGCATCTGCTGGAAACTAAGAAAAATCAACGTACAAAGGGAGAAAGGGGTGGTGACTTGAAGTACTGGAATACAAGGGGATTTTTGCAGAAAACGGTATTACCCAGGGTGCAGTGACTTGCTTGTTCAAAGACTGGTTTTATTCTTTATCTCTTCCCTTTTCCTTCCAGATTAGTTACCACACTGAAGCTGATAGATAATGTTATCTCTTGTGTGTAAATCCCTAAGAGGCAGTAAGTCTGCCCAGGCACAGGATCAACTGTCCAGTAGTAACCTCCACTTCTGAGATTAATAGCGATGGCTCCACCTCTTGTTTTGCCTTGCACAGCCTGATTTCAAGACCTGTCGCCAAACTGAGATTGTGGGAAATAGTGGGCTGGGTAAAAAGCAGGTGTGGATGAGAGACAGAAAGAATGTAAGAAATAAGTGAAGGAGCATAAGGTGAGTCAACCCTAGATTCTAGCTTCATTGGAAAAGATCACCTCAGCAGGGTAGCTGGTTATAAGATATGATAGACCATCTGTAGGTAAATAATTCAGTGTCATCTTATTTAAACTGTGCTATACACAAAACTTTTATAGAAATGTCATTTTTGTGTGAAAAAAGTACTTTATACAGAGCTTATTACTGGTGAGGTATCGAGTCTATCAAATTGGAATCCTGCATTTAGGTTAACAGGACTTATGTTTTGCTTTGTCATTCTGCTGAGGACAATTTCCCGTGCTGTTAAGTTTTACTTAATGATCTCAGCTGAAAGAGCTGGAATTGAAAAACAATTCTAATATAGATGGAAGGTTCGAATTTGTACCAATGTGCAGAAAAACACTGGCGTATAATTCTTTAAGAAAATCTTTGGTCCTTTTAAAACTTTGGCAGCCTTCATATATTTTCTTCTTGTACAACACTGTGTATTTTTTAAGTTTTTTCAGTTAAAAGATACATCTAAGCTCTTAAGACAGAAACAAGTCATTTAAGGAATGCACAAGTTGAACAGGTACCAGATTAGGCTTCTTCTCAGTGCCATGATGATGTACAACTAACACTCCAATTCATCACATTGACAAAGGAGAAAGCTACATATATATGGTCTGATGATAAACTGTCTCAAGGTACTAATAAAGGAGATGTGATTTTGAAAGGTAGGCAGTGTGGATACAAATTCTAGTATCTCCTTATATACTTTCTCCCCTTAGGCACTTTTACAGTAGTCACTGGCTCTAAAAAAGACAAGGTACAGTCTTGAGCCACTGAGCTTTAAATAAATTTATTCCCTCATTCTTTATGTAACACAAAGATGGTCCCCATGCATACAAAATTCTCCTTCAAGTTATTTCCCATCCTTTACATAATCTTCACTGCTTCAGGAACTTTAATAAAAATTTTTTCACCTCTTGTTAATGGGCAGAAAAAGAAAATAAAATGCATGCACATAAAGAAAGAATATCAAGAGGAATTTTAACCTGAGCGGTCTTTTATTCCTCTTTTGTGTTAAATGATTGTTGCACAAATCAAAACAACCTGAGCACACAGTTGGAAACTACTTAATGTTCCCTAAATGAAGCTCAATTAAGCACAAAAAAAGGTTTGAAGAGCATCAGAAATTATTTTTATCCCTAGCAGTTAAAAGTCTCTATAGTAAAAAAAGAGATTTATTGATGGTAAATATACTGAGTACCATTATGGTGCCAAAACAAGTCAAGCATCCTATTAATACCAGTACCTGTGGCTGAAGCTGGAGGCATGGAAAAGTTTCCAGAGCCCATGCAACTTGCTCCTCATTTTCAGAAAGTGTAATTGTACATGTACTATATACTAAGACACCTCCTGGCTTCAGTAATTTCACTGCCTGCAGGGAAAAAGAAACAACATTTCAGCTTATATTTAAAGGCAAAATGTTTCATATAAAGTAATGGTAACCAAGGAATTGTTAAGCTATAATATTAAAAATTAACACTTAAATCTTTCTGTCTAAAACAGCGTTGGAATGCTAATTCTTCTTGGGGCACACATTAAAGGTTCACATAGATTAGAAAGGCTTTTCTTTCAAAATCAGCATTATAGTTCATGCACTTTCTTAATGCTACTGAGATGATTCACCCTGTAGGATTTGTTATTTGTGCAGCTCTGCATATCTCATACAGATTAGTTTGTTTTCATCACATGCTGCCAAGCACGGATAGTTACACAGTATTTCTGTCACTGATATTAGATGTCAGCTGTTCCATATATTTGGCATGGTTATATCTGTGCTTCTTTTCAAGCTGTAATTCACTTTGAATAAGTATAATTCAGGTTTACAAAAGCTTCAGGAAACCTTGTCCTTCAGTATCAGGGCAAGGGTGCTCTTAATAACAAGGGAACTTGTAATATGGCCTTCTGGCTGTGTGCTCCAGCATCTATTCTGTGTTGTGCCACTGCAGGCTATGTGAGGAAGTGGTAAGAGTCCACACTGCTGCACAGAAAAACACTTTCACCTGCTCTGTGACTTAGACCTTGCCAATTATTATAAACTAAAACCAAGAAAACTGAAGGGAAAAAGAATAGAAAAATTCAGAGGTTTTTGTTTACTGTTGTTTACAGACATCTTTCCTATGCTCCAGTGAACTGACTTCACCTAGCAGCAGATCTGGTGGAGCTGAAAGGCTAACCGAATGCTAATGCTGTCATCAACTTTACTTAAAAAAAAAGGGGGCTTGTGAAAGACAGGAGAGCACTATCTTGTTTTATAAATATTTAAGTGCTCCTAAATGATCTCAACTTTCCTTCTTTTTGACTTCAACAGCCTGAAAGAGAGAAAACAAAGCTGAACAAATGACTTAAGTTTTTTAAGTTGTACCAAAAGAAACAACATAAAGAAAACTGCACTGCTTACCCTAAGGAGAAAAAAAAGAAGAATGTTTTAGACTTTATGGAGAATAGGGAACTGAGATTTCAAGGGCTAGAAGTCAACATCAAATACTTGAGCTTCAAAAGGGTGGGCTGCATCCTAGCATACATCTGCAGAAGAACAAGTCTAAGTGTTCTAGGAACTACTGATCTTCAAAGATGAAGGATAACAAAAGACCAGCTGGAAATCAGGCAAAATGCACATACTTCAATATTCTTCGATTAAATTTAGGAATAAGCTGAGAACTGCAGATGGTTTTGTGACAGAAGAAACTATAGTTGGAAAAATAAAACCTTAAT